CCCACCGACGTAGCTGGGCCCTACATGTCCTTCCCTGCAGCTCCTGGCGCCAGAGGCATACTGGGCATGTCATAACCGTACAGCTAAGGGCAGCCTAGACTTCCTCCTTACCTGTAAGGGTTTAAGAAGTCAAATAACCTGGTTGGCACCTGACCAAAAGGACCAATGGGGAAAGAAGAGACTTTCAAATCCTGGGGGGGAAGGCTTTGTTTGTGCTCTTTGGTTGTGTGTTCTCTGGGGAAGCAGAGAAGCATCAGGTCAGAAAACTCCTTCTCCTAAAATCATACTAAAATGAGTCTCAATAGTGCAAAAAGAGTAAGTAAATAAGACAAGGTGCGTTAGATTACCTTTTGTTTTCAATTTGTGAATTTTCCCTTTGCTAGAGGGAGATTTATCCCTGTTTTTTGTAACTTTAAAAGTTTTGCCTAGAGGGGAATCCTCTGTGTTTTGAATCTGATTACCCTGTAAAGGATTACCTTCCATCCTGATTTTACAGAGGTGCTTCTTTTCCTTTTTTTTCTTTATAATAAAGTTCTGTTTTTTAAGAATCTGGTTTACCTGTTTGGTTGGTATATTATTCTCAAGCCTTCCCAGGAAGGGGGTGTAGGGCTTGGGGGGATATTTTGGGGGAATAGGAATTCCAAGTGGTTCTTTCCCTGATTCTTTGTCTAAATCACTTTCTGGTGGCAGAGTGGTAGGATCATTTTGAACCAAAAGCACAGTAGGATTTTAAAAGGACAATTTTTTCCCCCCTTTTGGCTGCTTGGAAAGCAGGGAGGTGATTTTTTTTTAAGCTCAGGTTTCAGAGGAACAGCCGTGTTAGTCTGTATTCGCAAAAAGAAAAGGAGTACTTGTGGCACCTTAGAGACTAACCAATTTATTTGAGCATGAGCTTTCGTGAGCTACAGCTCACTTCATCGGATGCATACCGTGGAAACTGCAGAAGACATTATATACACACAGAGACCATGAAACAATACCTCCTCCCACCCCACTGTCCTGCTGGTAATAGCTTATCTAAAGTGATCATCAAGTTGGGCCATTTCCAGCACAAATCCAGGTTTTCTCACCCTCCGTCCACCCCCCCCCCCCCAAACTCACTCTCCTGCTGGTAATAGCCCATCCAAAGTGACCACTCTCTTCACAATGTGTATGATAATCAAGGTGGGTCATTTTCTGCACAAATCCAGGTTCTCTCACTCCCTCACCCCCCTCCAAAAACCACACACACAAACTCACTCTCCTGCTGGTAATAGCTTATCCAAAGTGACCACTCTCCCTACAATGTGCATGATAATCAAGGTGGGCCATTTCCAGCACAAATCTAGGTTTTCTCACCCCCCCACCCCCATACACAAACAAACTCACTCTCCTGCTGGTAATAGCTCATCCAAAGTGACCACTCTCCCTACAATGTGTATGATAATCAAGGTGGGCCATTTCCAGCACAAATCCAGGCTTTCTCACCCCCCCCCCCCGCGGGGGAACACACACACACACACAAACTCACTCTCCTGCCGGCAATAGCTCATCCAAACTGACCACTCTCCAAGTTTAAATCCAAGTTTAACCAGAACGTCGGGGGAGGGGGGTAGAAAAAAACAAGGGGAAATAGGCTACCTTGCATAATGACTTAGCCACTCCCAGTCTCTATTTAAGCCTAAATTAATAGTATCCAATTTGCAAATGAATTCCAAATTCAGCAGTTTCTCGCTGGAGTCTGGATTTGAAGTTTTTTTGTTTTAAGATAGCGACCTTCATGTCTGTGATTGCGTGACCAGAGAGATTGAAGTGTTCTCCGACTGGTTTATGAATGTTATAATTCTTGACATCTGATTTGTGTCCATTTATTCTTTTACGTAGAGATTGTCCAGTTTGACCAATGTACATGGCAGAGGGGCATTGCTGGCACATGATGGCATATATCACATTGGTGGATGTGCAGGTGAACGAGCCTCTGATAGTGTGGTTGATGTTATTAGGCCCTTTGATGGTGTCCCCTGAATAGATATGTGGGCACAGTTGGCAATGGGCTTTGTTGCAAGGATAGGTTCCTGGGTTAGTGGTTCTGTTGTGTGGTATGTGGTTGCTGGTGAGTATTTGCTTCAGGTTCGGGGGCTGTCTGTAGGCAAGGACTGGCCTGTCTCCCAAGATTTGTGAGAGTGTTGGGTCATCCTTCAGGATAGGTTGTAGATCCTTAATAATGCGTTGGAGGGGTTTTAGTTGGGGGCTGAAGGTGACTGCCAGTGGCGTTCTGTTATTTTCTTTGTTAGGCCTGTCCTTTAGTAGGTGACTTCTGGGAACTCTTCTGGCTCTATCAATCTGTTTCTTTACTTCTGCAGGTGGGTATTGTAGTTGTAAGAACGCTTGATAGAGATCTTGTAGGTGTTTGTCTCTGTCTGAGGGGTTGGAGCAAATGCGGTTGTATCGCAGAGCTTGGCTGTAGACGATGGATCTTGTGGTGTGGTGTGGTGTGGTGTCATCTACAGCCAAGCTCTGCGATACAACCACATTTGCTCCAACACCTCAGACAGAGACAAACACCTACAAGATCTCTATCAAGCATTCTTACAACTACAATACCCACCCGCGGAAGTGAAGAAACAGATTGACAGAGCCAGAAGAGTTCCCAGAAGTCACCTACTCCAGGACAGGCCCAACAAAGAAAGTAATAGAACGCCACTAGCCGTCACCTTCAGCCCTCAACTAAAACCTCTCCAGCGCATCATCAAGAATCTACAACCTATCCTGAAGGACGACCCATCACTCTCACAGATTTTGGGAGACAGGCCAGTCCTTGCCTACAGACAGCCCCCCAACCTGAAGCAAATACTCACCAGCAACCACATACCACACAACAGAACCACTAACCCAGAAACCTATCCTTGCAACAAAGCCCATTGCCAACTGTGCCCACATATTGTTGGATCATATTAAAGAAGTTCTGTATTAAAATCACAAATGAGTTTGATTCCCCATAGTTTAAATTCCAGGGTATTACTAATTAAGAGCTCTCTTGGTTTTTGGTACTGTTTCTCTCCCTCTATGTGTGAAACTTGCAAGCTGCTAATTGTGTTAGTACATTCTAAGACAGAGTCTGTTCTCAAAGCAATTCACAGAGAGAGACTCAAAGCAATACTCTAACAACAGAAACAGCATCCAGAGACTCCCCACCCTTTTGTTGTATTAACAATTGTGATTAAAATAGAGATAGAGGATTTATGTGGATGGATGCTTGGTGTGGATAATAACTGAATGATCAGGGAGGTGCCAGCCTAAGAATCCAGTGTCCATCGGCTGAAGAAGGCGTCAAGTGGAAATAACCAGAGGACCCCCCCGGAGGGCAGACTGGAATCCACCCAACAGCCTCAAGAATGGGAGAACCAAAGAACAAGATAACATCTTGGAGCCGTCAGGAATGTGCTATCTGCTGATTGATTCAGCAACAGCATGATGAAGCAATTCCCATAGACTGGCATAGGAAGAAATTCCTATAAAAATAGACTCTAAAAAGTGAGAACTTTGGGGTCTGATTCTGCAAACCAACTTCCAGGAGCATCAGATGAGCATCTGACAAGGCCCTGCTCCCTCCTCATGTCCAGGCCACCTGGCCAGTGGCTTGGCATGAGCAACTCTAAGGCTGGTAACTATGATAACAACCTTGCAGAACCTGTGTGTGTGTGTGTGTGTGTGTGTGTGTATGTTTGTATGAATGAATGTGAGAATAAATTTGAGATTGAATGGAATGTTATAACTATAACTAACTGCTTACTATGATTCTTTCTGTATTCACAGTAAATGTGGTATTTTGCCTTTTTCCCTTTAATAAGATCCTGCTGGTTTTTATTTTATTGGTACAACAATATCTATTCAGGGGACACCATCAAAGGGCCTAATCACATCAGCCACACTATCAGAGGCTCGTTCACCTGCACATCCACCAGTGTGATATATGCCATCATGTGCCAGCAATGCCCCTCTGCCATGTACATTGGTCAAACTGGACAATCTCTACGTAAAAGAATAAATGGACACAAATCAGATGTCAAGAATTATAACATTCATAAACCAGTCGGAGAACACTTCAATCTCTCTGGTCACGCAATCACAGACATGAAGGTCGCTATCTTAAAACAAAAAAACTTCAAATCCAGACTCCAGCGAGAAACTGCTGAATTGGAATTCATTTGCAAATTGGATACTATTAATTTAGGCTTAAATAGAGACTGGGAGTGGCTAAGTCATTATGCAAGGTAGCCTATTTCCCCTTGTTTTTTTCTACCCCCCCCCCGACGTTCTGGTTAAACTTGGATTTAAACTTGGAGAGTGGTCAGTTTGGATGAGCTATTGCCGGCAGGAGAGTGTGTGTGTGTGTGTGTGTGTGTGTGTTTCCGGGTGTGGGGGGTGAGAAAACCGGGATTTGTGCTGGAAATGGCCCACCTTGATTATCATGCACATTGTAGGGAGAGTGGTCACTTTGGATGAGCTATTACCAGCAGGAGAGTGAGTTTGTGTGTGTGGTTTTTGGAGGGGGGTGAGGGGGTGAGAGAACCTGGATTTGTGCAGGAAATGGCCCACTTGATTATCATGCACATTGTAGGGAGAGTGGTCACTTTGAATGGGCTATCACCAGCAGGAGAGTGAGTTTGTGTGTGGGGGGGGTGGAGGGTGAGAAAACCTGGATTTGTGCTGGAAATGGCCCAACTTGATGATCACTTTAGATAAGCTATTACCAGCAGGACAGTGGGGTGAGAGGAGGTATTGTTTCATGGTCTCTGTGTGTATATAATGTCTTCTGCAGTTTCCACGGTATGCATCCGATGAAGTGAGCTGTAGCTCACGAAAGCTCATGCTCAAATAAATTGGTTAGTCTCTAAGGTGCCACAAGTACTCCTTTTCTTTTTTTAAGCTGTGAGCACCTGGAGGTTTTTTACTCTGCCTGAGTTCACTTCCTGCAGGGGAATTCACAAGTGTTTTTTTTTTTTCTTTCTGACTCTCAGGTATAGCTAGAGTTAAGCACAAGAAAGCAGAAAAATGACTACCAGTGAAGCAGCGAATAAACTAGAGCTGGCTAGACTGGAAGCACAAGAGAAAGAAAACGAACATAAGAGAAGGATTGGAATTAAGAGAACTAGAAATAAATGCACAGGAGGCTGCCCACAAGAGAACTATGGAGGCAGAAGAAGCTGCCCACAAGAGAGTCCTGGAGTCACAAGGAAGAGAGAGGAAGCATGAACTGGAGTTAGAGATGGCAAGGGCTAAGCAAAATATACCAGACAACCCTAGCAATCCTTCTCCAGGTACCGCTTCCCATCCCAGAAAGTTCCCCACCTACAAGGCAGGCGATGATACTGAGGCCTTCTTAGAAAACTTCAAAAGGGCCTGCCTTGGGTCCAGCATCTATACAGACCAGTACATGGTAGAGCTGAGGCCTCAGCTCAGTGGACCCTTAGCCGAGGTGGCGGCTGAAATGCCGAAGGAACACATGAATGGTTATGAACTTTTTAAAAAACAGGCCAGAATCAGAATGGGACGAACACCCAAGCCTGCCTGTCAGCAGTTCAGAGCCCTAAAGTGGAAACCAGATGTGCATCTTGCCAACACGCCTACTATACTGTGAAACATTGGGATGCCTGGATATCAGGAGCAAGCATTAAATATCTGGAAGATCTTTCTTTCCTAATGCAAATGGAGCAGTTCTCAGAGGGTGTTCCTGAGGAAATAGAAAGGTACATCCTAGATGGAAGCCCAAAACTGTAATCGAGGCGGGAAAGATTGGAGCCAAATGGGTGGAGGTGGCAGAAAAGAAAAAAAACTGGTCGCAGTTGAACCAGATATCAGAAGGGGCAACCCGAAACAAAACCCTATCACCGGGGGCCACCCAAGGCCCCACCTACATCCCAAGGAAAACCCCAGACACCTTATCGTCCCACCACACCGTTCTCCAGCAACCCACCTCGCCCCAGTGACCCGTCAGCTGGGCGATGTTTTAAATGTAATGAGCTGGGGCATTTGAAGCCCAACTGCCCCAAGAACCCCAACAGATTACAGTTCATTGCACTGGGGTCCCACCAAAGGTCCGCAGGCCCAGATGTCTCCCAGGTACCCTCAGAGCAAAGGGAAACTGTGAGTGTGGGCGGGAAGAAGGTCACCACGTCGAGGGACACTGGAGCACAGGTGTCAGCTATCCACCAGTCCTTAGTGGACCCCAAATTCATCAACCCAGAGGCCCAAGTGATGATTCAACCCTTCATGTCAAACTCTTTAAACTTGCCTACAGTCGAGTTGCCTGTCCGGTACAAGGGCTGGTCATGTATGTGAACTTTTGCAGTCTATGATGATTATCCCATCCCCATGCTGCTGGGGGAAGACTTGGCCAACCAGGTAAAGCTGGCCAAGAGGGTGGGAATGGTCACCCGCAGCCAGGCTAAGCCAGCTTCCACACCTATCCCTGTTCCTAATCCTTCCACCAGGGCCCCGTCTGTGTTACTAGAGACCCAGATGGAGGTGGTGGAACTGGATCCCCTGCCAACGGCTGCAACGGCCGTAGTAGATCCAGTCCCAGAGACCCAGCCAGAGCCAGTCCCAAAACCGGAACTGGCGAAGCAATCAGCACCAGAACCATTGCCAGCACTGAGTCCAGCGCTTGCAACCCCGTCTTCAGCTCCAACACCAGAAGGCACCACCGAGCCTGCCCTGGCAACAGCAGCCGATAACCCTACACAGGAGACTCAGCCGGAGCCTGAACCCCAACATAGTGTCCCAGCGGCGAGCGGTTCAGAGTCAATGGAAACAGCCCCATCACCTGCATCACTTCCCGAGGGACCAAGCCCAAGTCCACAATCCAGTGAGGAACTGATGTCTCCAGCATCAAGGGAACAGTTGCAGGCCAAACAGGAAGCAGATGAAAGCTTCCAGAGAGCTTGGATGGCAGCATGGAGCAACCCACCACCTCTCAGCTCTTCTAACCGAAAGAGGACTTTTATACAAGGAAACTCTTTCTGGTGGGCACCAGGAAGACTGGCATCCTCAGAGACAGTTGGTAGTTCCAACTAAGTACCAGGTAAAGCTATTAAGCTTAGCCCATGATCATCCTAATGGTCATGCTGGGGTGAACAGGACCAAAGACCGTTTGGGGGGGTCATTCCACTGGGAGGGAATGGGCAAGGACATTTCTACTTATGTCCGGTCTTGTGAGGTGTGCCAAAGAGTGCGAAAACCCCAAGACCAGGTCAAAGCCCCTCTCCAGCCACTCCCCATCATTGATGTTCCATTTCAGCGAGTAGCTGTGGATATTCTGGGTCCTTTTCTGAAAAAGACACCCAGAGGAAAGCAGTACATACTGACTTTCATGGATTTTGCCACCCGATGGCCGGAAGCAGTAGCTCTAAGCAACACCAGGGCTAAAAGTGTGTGCTAGGCACTAACAGATATTTTTGCCAGGGTAGGCTGGCTCTCCAACATCCTTACAGATTTGGAAACTAATTTCCTGACAGGGACCATGAAAAGCCTGTGAGAAGCTCATGGGGTGAACCCCTTGGTTGCCACCCCTTACCACCATCAAACAAATGGCCTGGTGGAGAAGTTTAATGGAACTTTGGGGGCCATGATACATAAATTTATAAGTTTCAGAGTAACAGCCGTGTTAGTCTGTATTCGCAAAAAGAAAAGGAGTACTTGTAGCACCTTAGAGACTAACCAATTTATTTGAGCATGAGCTTTCGTGAGCTACAGTATGCATCCGACGAAGTGAGCTGTAGCTCACGAAAGCTCATGCTCAAATAAATTGGTTAGTCTCTAAGGTGCCACAAGTACTTCTTTTCTTTTTATAAATTTATAAATGAGCACTCCAATGATTGGGACCTAGTGTTGCAGCAGTTGCTCTTTGCCTACAGAGCTGTACCACATCCCAGTTTAGGGTTTTCACCATTTGAACTTGTGTATGGCCGCGACGTTAAGGGGCCATTGCAGTTGGTGAAGCAGCAATGGGAGGGGTTTATGCCTTCTCTAGGAACTAACATTCTGGACTTTGTAAACAACCTACAAAACACCCTCCAAACCTCTTTAGCCCCTGCTAGAGAAAACCTAAAAGATGCTCAAAAAGAGCAAAAAGCCTGGTATGATAAACATGCCAGAGAGCATTCCTTCAAAGTAGGGGACCAGATCATGGTCTTGAAGGCGCTCCAGGCCCATAAAATGGAAGCGTCGTGGGAAGGGCCATTCACGGTCCAGGAGCGCCTGGGAGCTGTTAATTATCTCATAGCATTCCCCACCGAAAGCCGAAAGTGTACCATGTTAATTCTCTAAAGCCTTTTTATTCCAGAGAATTAAAGGTTTGTCAGTTTACAGCCCAGGGAGGAGATGACGCTGAGTGGCCTGAAGGTGTCTACTACGAAGGGAAAAGTGCTGGTGGCGTGGAAGAGATGAACCTCTCCATGACCCTTGGGTGTATACAGCGACAGCAGATCCAGGAGCTGTGCACTAGCTATGCGCTGATGTTCTCAGCCACCCCAGGACTGACTGAACGGGCATACCACTCCATTGACACAGGGAATGCTCGCTCAATTAAAGTCCAACCTTACCGGGTGTCTCCTCAAGCCAAAACTGCTCTAGAACGGGAGATCCAGGACATGCTACAGATGGGTGTAATCCGCCCCTCTGGCAGTGCATGGGCATCTCCAGTGGTTCTAGTTCCCAAACCAGATGGGGAGCTACGTTTTTGCGTGGACTACCGCAAGCTAAATGCTGTGACTCGCCCAGACAACTATCCAATGCCACGCACAGATGAACTATTGGAGAAACTGGGATAGGCCCAGTTCATCTCTACCTTGGACTTAACCAAGGGGTACTGGCAGGTACCGCTGGATGAATCTGCTAAGGAAAGGTCAGCCTTCATCACACATGTAGGGCTGTATGAATTTAATGGATTCCCTTTCGGGCTGTGAAATGCACCCACCACCTTCTAGAAACTTATAGATAGGCAACTGCAGATTCTTCCAATCCTGCTAGGAGACTATCTTGACGACGTGGCCATATTTTCTGACTCATGGGCAGAATACCTGGAGCATCTCAGGAAGGTCTTCGAGTGTATAAGAGAGGCAGGATTAATTGTTAAGGCTAAAAACTTGTCAAATAAGCCTAAACAGAGTGACTTACCTTGGACACCAGGTGGGTCAAGAAACTATCAACCCCCTACAGGCCAGAGCGAATGCTATCCAAAAGTGGCCCATCCCAAAGTCAAAGAAACAGGTCCAATCCTTCTTAGGCTTGGCCAGATATTACAGGCGATTTGTACTGCAATACAGCCAGATCGCTGCCCCACTGACCAACCTAACCAGAAAGAAACAGCCAAATGCAGTTCAGTGGACTGAAGAATGTCAGAAGGCCTTTAACCAGCTTAAAGCGACATTTATGTCTGACCCTGTGCTCAGGCCCCCAGACTTTGACAAACCGTTCCTAGTAACCACAGATGCATCCGAGCGTGGTGTGGGAGCAGTTTTAATGCAGGAAGGACCGGATCAAGAGTTCCATCCTGCCGTGTTTCTCAGCAAAACGCTGTCTGAGAAGGAAAGCCACTGGTCAATCAGCGAAAAGGAATGCTACACCATCGTCTACGCGCTGGAAAAACTACGCCCATACGTTTGGGGACGGCGTTTCCACCTGCAAACAGACCATGCTGCGCTGAAGTGGCTTCACACCGTCAAGGACAATAACAAAAAACTTCTTTGGTGGAGTTTAGCTCGCCAAGATTTTGATTTCGACATACAACACATCTCAGGAGCTTCTAACAAGGTGGCTGATGCACTCTCCCGTGAAAGTTTCCCAGAATCCACTGGTTAAAATTGTCCTTGAAACGTGGAAATTATTGTTAGTTTTTATGTAATCAGTAGTCTATCCAGAGGTGCATGCATCTTATTAACTCTGTTTTCTCCTAGAGCTCCAGGAAGAAATCACAGACAGTGTGACACAGGCTGTCCAGCACCATCTGTGATTTGGGGGGTCTGTCATAACCATACAGCTAAGGGTAGCCTAGAATTCCTCCTTGCTCGTAAGGGGTTAAGAAGCTCAGATAACCTGGTTGACACCTGACCAAAAGGACCAATGGGGAAAAAAGATACTTTCAAATCTGGGGGGGAGGGGGAAGACATTGTTTGTGCTCTTTGGTTGTGTGTTCTCTGGGGAAGCAGAGAAGCATCAGGTCAGAAAACTTCTCCTAAAATCATACTAAAATGAGTCTCAATAGTGCAAAAAAGAGTAAGTAAATAAGGCAAGATGCGTTAGATTATCTTTTGGTTTTAGCTTGTGAATTTTCCCTGTGCTAAGTGGGAGGTTTATCCCTGTTTTTTGTAACTTTAAATTTTTGCCTAGAGGGGAATCCTCTGTGTTTCGAATCTGATTACCCTGTAAAGTTACCTTCCATCCTGATTTTACAGAAGTGCTTCTTTTACTTTTTTTCCCTTTATAATAAAGTTCTGTTTTTTAAGAATCTGGTTAACCTGTTTGGTTGGTATATTATTCTCAAGCCTTCCCAGGAAGGGGGTGTAGGGCTTGGGGGGATATTTTGGGGGAATAGGAATTCCAAGTGGTCCTTTCCCTAATTCTTTGTCTAAATCACTTTCTGGTGGCAGCATACCGTCCAAGGACAAAGGATTTGTGCCTTGGGGATGTTTTTAACCTAAGCTGCTAGAAATAAGTTTAGGGGGTCTTTCATGCGAGTGCTCACATCTGTACCCTAGAGTTCAGAGTGGGGAGGGAACCCTAACAGGGCAGGAGGAGGAGGCCTGGAGTGCGCTGTGCTCAGCTGTCTCCAGATGGCAGGTGGCCCCTGGCCAGCTGGAGTAAGTTAGAGCAGCCCCTGGCTCAAGCCCAGTCTGGGCAGAGAACCGGGGAGTGTAGCTGTCTGTTTGCTCTCAGCTTCTCTTTCCCACTGCTCTGGGCTGCCCAGAGCGATTGTGTGGGGAAGGGGAGCCAGCCTGCACTCGGGGTAGGCTCAGGCAGAGCCCGTGGAGCTCCTGTGTCCTGCTCTCCCAGAGGTTTCTGAAGCCCAGTGGGAGCAGACCATGGGGCAGCCAGCTTCTTTCTGCTCCTCTAGGGCAGGGCAACAGGCAGCCAGTGGGGGCGCCAGTGAGCAGTTGCAGCAGGCCAGGGCCCACCTTTGCTCAGTGGGGCGGGGCTCTCCCCAGAGCTCCCCACCCAGGGCTGCAGGGCAGCGTGGGAGGCCCCTCCTGGCACTCCACAGTGACAGGGCGGATGCCAGTGGGCATGGCACCAGTTCATGGGCACATACCCAAGGGCCACAACCTTCAGCCTCCAGCGCCACCAGGGGTCCCCTTGGCAGGTTGGCCCCTTGTTTTATAACCGCAAGACTTTGGTTATAAGTCTGATCCAACCAAACCCAGCTTTCTAAAGCCCTTGGGCCAGATCCTTAGCTGGTGTAAATGGGCACAGTGCAGTTGACTTTACTGGAATCACACTCGTGGAGCCTGGGGCCTTTTAATGCAAAACTAAGGCAATTTACAGACAGGTGCAAGTGGGGCTCACGGGAGCTGAAAAACCTTTCCAATGTTTCCAACAATCCAAAGTACCCAAAGTGAAGGCTCTCATCATCATATGTACCCAATGAACAGTCCATGGCCTGGCCTGGCATGCGGGGTCTGTCCGAAATGGCGATTCTCTTTCAGCCTGGGTTTAATTACCAACCAATCACAAACTCAGCAGAGTGGCTGAAGCAGCAGGCCCCTGGAAGGATGCTGCTGTGATGCTAAGCAGTGCCAAGGGGTTCACTCCTTCTGAGCCCGGCCTTCCTGACTTCACTAAACCCTCTTGGCCGAATTCTTCCCCTTCCTTCCACCCCGGCAGCCCACAGTGTAACTGGCCCTAGGATTCAGACCTCCCTCGGTTTCATTCAGATTTGCGCCCCCGGAAGCCACAGGATTCACCTGCAGCCCGGCCTACTGCCCCGCATGTCAATGGGAGGATCGCCACGGGCTGCAGCCCTGACACGCCGGTGAGGGGGGTCATGGGAATGCCCTGCTGGCACAGAGACAGAGACAGACTTTCATTTCACTGCCAATTTCCGTTGACTGGAAAGTACATAATCATTTCAGGCCAAACGAAACGTTTTGTTCAACCCAACCCAAAACGTTTTGCTTCAATTTTGAGCATTTGAAAAGGTTGTTGACTTTTTAAAATAGAATTAAAAGAAACATTTAACTGGAGCCTTTCTGAACCAGAAACCAGAAATAGCGTCCCAAAATGTCAAACACCAAACGTTTTGATTTATTTTGTAAACATTTTTAAAATTATTTTTGACCAAAATGATTTGGCAAAACTGAGAACTTCCGGGAATACTGCCAGGCTGCCCCAGCTGGGGCGGTGGGGTTTGGTTTTGTTTGTTTGGTTGTTTTTTTGTTTTTGTTTGGTTGTTTTTTTGAAAAACAAACAGTTTTGTACAAAAAGTTTGCCCCTCTCTCTAGCTAGTAGCGTACTCGGCTTCTAGCGAGAGTTTTTCCTGAGTCAGAACCATACAATTCAGATGCCACTGAGTGGCCGCGTTTCCCTATTGTAAGTGAAAAAGCATGGTACGTAGCCACGCTGTTTGCTTCCCGTCTCCTCCTGCGGCTTTGCGTTCCGCCGGGTTTGAAACCCGTCCGGCTGCCCTAGCCCACGGGAGTTCCAGCGGGGGGCGCACTTCCCGCCGGTGCTGGCATCAGCCCTAGCAGGGATGCAGTGACAGCGGTCGGGCGTGGCTCATGTCCTGAGTCGGAATTTCAGCAGCTCTCGCTCCTTGGGATCAACTGTACCGGGATTTCAAACCCCTTCCCCTTCAGCGTCCCGAAGGTATCCCACAACTCCCACGCAAATTCAACACACTTGATCCGCGATGGCTGAGTGGCCTGTATTTGTCTGACTATACTACAGACGGTCAGGATTTTGCTTGTATAAATATTAGGGTAAATCCAGGTAAGGAACCTTCTTCTCTCTTTCGGAGGGCTGGGTTTTCTCCGACAGATTATACTATATTGTTACGTTTCTAGCAGTGAAGCATTTCAAATATGGGTACGATTTTCAAGCGTGGCGGGGACCCACTGTGATGCGCGGTAAAGGGGGCTGATTTTCAGAGCACCGCGGAGCGCTTGCTCTCTGAACTTCAGCGACTCCGGCTGGGCAGGCAGAAAACATCATTTTCAGATAAAAATTTCCCAAACCAGAAAAGGGCTGGATCCAGCACTCGTTGCTCAGGTGAGTAATCCTTGCTCAGGGAGTTATGGTATTCATGTCAATGGGCCTACTCCAGTGAGTAAGAGTTTTGTGGGGTGGGGTCCATAATCTGCCCGCATCCCTTGTGCACTCAAATGATCACCCACTGAACTCAAGGGGCGCGTTGGGTGCAGGACACACAGTACACGTCCCTCTTAGAGCAAGAGCCTGGCGTCAGCGGGACTGCTCAGCTGAACAGAGTAACTCCGCTGCGCACCTAGGACCAGGATCAGGCCCTTAGACATCCAGCTGTGTGGGGCGGAGAGCAATTTGCTGCCAGCTCCTAAAGACTGGGGGCTGTACATAGTCATCACAAATACTCATTGGCATTTCCAAACAGCGCGTTGCTGCCCCAGACATTGCAAACCAGCAGGCTAGTGCTAGATGCTGGGGACAATTCGGGGGAAGCCCCCCAAGACCAATTGACCGGTGTGGGCTTGCGGCAAAATGAACGAGGGCAATACAAAAACAGAGCCGCAGCCTGGCCCGGCGGGCAGCGCCCGACAGTCTAATCCTGACGGTGACCCCGGGAAGTCTCTTCCCCACTCTGGGCCTCGCTTTCCTTCCCCTATCTGTGAAGGGAAAGTGCTCCTGGCATCTCCCCCCGGCTGGACACTCGGACCCATTCCGGCTGGGTGGCTTTTTTCAATTTAACTTAGGCCCCTTCCCACACAACAAAGTAAACGGAAACCGCACTTTTACACCTTACTAAGCGCACCCATCTGGGGGTGACACCTGTATAGCGGCATCGTTTTAATTCACCTCCCTTAGTTTGCACCAGTAGGCCTTCCCCATGTAGACACGGCAGCGAGTTCTGGGGGGGGTGTCTCTGTGTAGTGTAGCCCAACCGGTCTGTGCAGCGCCGAGCGCAAAGGTGCGCCACTCACTGAGGCAAACAACCAGTCCGTCTGGGCTGCCCCTCCAAATAGCGCTGAGTGAGTAAAACCCTGTTTCCAAAAGGCTGATTTCAGTGGGCTTTGCCTCCGGCCTGAATTCCCATTCACTAACCGGACTGGAGGGCAGAAGGCTGTCTGCGGTCAGGGTACAGGATCTCACGAACTTAATCCGGGAGATTAATCAAACCCAGAGTGATCTGATCGCACAGCGGCTCTGGAAACTCGCTCGGCCCCTGCCCTGGAAGGAGCGGAGCGGAAAGCTGGCCTGGGGCACGCGTGACTAATGAGGGAGAGGTCACAAATTAGCTCAGGGGATGGGGAGGTTAAGCTACTTGCCTAAAACCAGTGAAGACAAGTGGACAACTTGGCTTTAAAGATGAAAACCCCAGGCGATGCTGCCAGCAGAGCCATTTATTGCAGTGACATGTCCAAGGCCATTAGGAACAGAACCGCTGACCCTCCCGCCCCCCTCTTTGGGATCCGAAGGAAACGGGAGCCAAGGGACCGATGAGTCCGGGCCAGAAGGACTTTATGGTTCATGCGGAATTGGGTCTTCTGCAGGCACAGCTGGGATCCCTCTCCCTTTTCGGTGCTGCCCTGCACCCCGCAGGGCCCCGGCGGGAAGCGAGGACAGGGAGAGGCAGGCGATGTGGGGAACAGCCCCGCGCCCCATGGCTCCCCACGCCGGGCGAGTCCAGGAGCACAGTTCTGGGCGCACGCAAAGGGGAACAACGCTGACTACTCGCCTTGTCCTGGGCCGCGGCCGGGGGCTTCGGTCTCAGTGTCCCGCCCCGCCCCGCGGCCCGGGCTAGCCATGGCCCCGAGGGGACCCCGTGGAGCCCATGGGGCCGGCTCCCTGCCGCAGGGGACGCTGCTCCACACTCCCGGGGGCGCGGCTCTGTCCCTCCGGCGGCCGCTCCAGCGCCAGCCCGGGCCCCCTCACATGGCCGGGACGAACCTCTCCACGGCGCCGGGGTAGGGCGCATGGCGCAGGTAGGCGCCGGGGCCGCCCAGCTGCGCGCCGGGGCTGTAGCCGTGGGCCAGCGCCGGGCAGGGTCCGGGGGACATGCGGCCGTAGAAGTCCCGGCTGTCGCCGCCGAGCTGGGGCGAGGCGGACAGGGCCAGGCGGCCGGGCGGGTACAGCTGGCCGCTGCCCTGCGCGTAGGGCCCCTGGGTGAGCGGCAGCGGCGCGCCGGGGCCCGGGTACGGGTAGGGGCCGGGGCCCCCGGCGCAGCCCGGGCTGGCGTAGGCGGCTCCAGCGAAGGCGCAGGAGCTGGCGGGGGCCGGGGCCAGCTCGGGGCTGAGCGGGCGGGCCGGCTGCGGGGCGAGCTGGGCGCCGGGCGGGCCCCCGAGGCCGAAGAGGCGGCGCGGGGCGGGCGGCGCGGCGGGGTAGCAGGCGGCGGGGGCGCCGAAGGCCCCGTCGGGCGCGGCGCCCGGGTAGGTGGAGAGGTCGCTGCGCTTGAAGCGCTTCCTCCGGCGCAGGAAGCTGCCGCTCTCGAACATGCGGCGGGCCGCGGGGTCCAGCGCCCAGTAGTTGCCCTTGCCCGGGCGGCCCGGCTCCCGCGGCACCTTGACGAAGCAGTCGTTGAGCGTCAGGTTGTGGCGGATGCTGTTCTGCCACTTTTGCGGCCCGTCGCGGTAGAAGGGGAAGCGCTCGGTGATGAAGCGGTAGATGCCGCCCAGCGTGAGCCGCTGCTCCGGGGCGTGCGCGATGGCCATGGCGATGAGCGCGATGTAGCTGTACGGGGGCTTGCCCCGCTGTGCCGGCCGCTTCCGCCGCCGGCCGGCGCCCCGCGGCCCCGCCTCGGGGGGCCCCGGCTGCGCCTTCGCCGGGGGCATGATCAGGAGACCGGGCTCGGCTGGGCTGGCCCCGCACAGGGGCTGCTGGCTCTCCGCCGTCATCCCCGGCGGGCGCCTGCCCCTGGCGCCCCAGCTGCGCCCGGGGGGCTCCCGAAGCCGGCGCGCTCAGTCGCGGCGGAGGCTCGGTGCCCGGGCCGCCCGGGGCAGGGAGGACGGTGACTCCAGACCCAGGGCTGCGGGAGCCGCTGCCCCCATCACCATGAACTTGTGCCCGGCTGGCCGCTGGGCAGGGAGCCCGGGGCGGAGGGGCGCCGCTGCACTAGGGGTATGCCATGGCCGCAGCCCCCGGCGCGCAGGTACCGCCGCCGGCCCGGCAAAGGAGGCGTGTGGGCGCGGAACTCCCTCCTTTTATGTCTCCTGCTGAGCCGCGACCTCCGGCTCCTTCTGCGCCTGCAGTACCTGGCAGCCGGCACTCCCACCTGCCCGGGCCTCCGCCCCCAGCGCCTTAAAGAGACAGGCTGGTCCCGGGCCCAGCCTCCCTGACGCACCTGCAGGAAGGCGCTGCCCTGCCCAGCGCCCTGGCAGCCGGGGGGATGCCCGAGCCCTTCCCGCACCTTCCCAGGTAACGCCTGACTCCGGAATGGGCGCGGCGCAGGACAGGAGCCGGCAGCCCGCAAAGCAGATCACCTGCCACGCCGGCTCCTGCCAAGCCCGGAGCTGGGCCCATGCCCGCGCTCAGGCTCGGGAGCCCCGTGGACAGCTGCGCTCTGGAGAAGCGCTGGAGCGTGGCCAGGCGGGGTTGGCGCGTAGCTCTCTGCTGGGTCAGCGCAAAGCGCCAGGAGAGGGGCGCCCTGGGCTGGGGAGAGGCACCTGGAGCCCGCCCGGCGCCAGGACATCGTGCCCAGGGCTCCCCCACTGCTCTGGCAGCGCCTCCCGAGAGTGGGGCCCCGGGGCTGTAACCCTGAAATAGCGCCTTGTGTCCTGGAGCGCAGTCCCCGAACCGTCCGGGGTTTGCACCGCCGGGGATCGGACCCCTACAATCGGCCTCGGATCCCCTGCGGCCGGTGCCTCCTTGGAGAGAGGGGCCCGAGCGTTCTCCTGGGTTTGCGCAGCGCCTGGCACAGCGGGGGCCCCGCGGCCAATCACAACAGCTGCGTGAACAGAGCATGAATGATAATCGCCTGGATGCGCGTGTCTGAAGCGCCCCTCACTCGGCTCAGGGCCCCACCGGCAGGTAGCGGTAAAACTCTGCCGGCGCCATAAGAACCGCGGCGAGCGAATCACACAGCAACGAAATCCGCGTCCGCTCCAGGCCCCCCCGATCTGATTCGTTTGGTGCTGGGCTGGGACCTGTGCGGAGTAGGAGGAGCGCAAAACTGCGGAAAAGCGGGGCCGAACCCGTGTCCAAGCAGGGAGAACGGTTTAAGATCGACACGAGGAGCAGGCTGGTCGTGTTCAAACGGATTCCCTGTGCTCAGTGCATTTCGATTGCAATGAGTTAAAGTGACCAGAGCCTAAACTTTTCTGTCTGCAGGCCATAACCTATTTCATGCAGTGCTGAAATGCCCCGTATATATATGCCGTCTGGGGGGGGCGGGGGGGAGTGTACAGGGCTATCTCTCACTCCTGCGCACAGCGGATGTAGGCACCAGAGAGAGGAGCTGGGTGAGGAATGATCTTTTATTGAACCAGCCTACTCCTCAGAACTTTTGTTCTGTTCTAGTCTTGTTAATTAGCAGATATTGCTCCAATCCCGGATATTACCTCACCCACCCTGTCTCTCTGATGTCACAGAGTCACAGAAGATCAGGGTTGGAAGGGACCTCAGGAGGTCATCTAGTCCAACCCCCTGCTCAAAGCCAGACCAACCCCAACTAAATCATCCCAGCCAAGGAAGGAGATTCCACCACCTCCCTAGGTAACCCCTTCCAGTGCTTCACCACCCTCCTAGTGAAATAGTGTTTCCTAATATCCAACCTAAACCTCCCCCACTGCAACTTGAGACCATTACTCCTTGTTCTGTCATCTGCCACCGCTCCTGTCTCCAGCTCCATGCTCTTACCTCACATTTTAGACTTGCGGCCAGGACATCTGGGTTTGGATCCCGGTTTTCGCACCATTTTATCGGGTTTTGCACTTTCTCGGAGATTTGCCAACCTGTGGCTTTTAGTGACTTCTCCCTAGTAAATTAAATATGAAAAATAAGGCACAGGCGCCATCCCCTGCGGTGTATTTTAAAACCCCAGGTAATGAACCAGAGAACAACCCCGACCGAACACGCCCCTTCCTTTTATGCTTTCAAAAGACAGACAGTCCGGTCCAACTCTGCGGTGTGAACACATGCAAAGCCCGACCCCAGCCCTACCTCTGCTCCTCCGATTTCCCAGCGCTGCGTGTGTGCCTCTTCCTTGTTAACAAGACGGTGACATTAACACACCCCCGGGGCACGGTGCTGTACAGTACCGGAGGAGGAAGCTATTCCCAACGAAACTGAAGCAACGTGGCTTTGGGGATGCCAACGGGGAGGCTCTGTATCTTCGCACACAAACGCACCGTGTATCAGGTTCCTTCCGCAGAGCGTGCTGGGCTGCGGATGGATTCTGATCATTATGAATTAGGGACAAGAATAAATACTGCCCTGCGAGGTGACATCCGTTTGTTGGTGGGGGGTTGGTTTTCTTTCCAGCATTGCAAACACATTTTTCAAGTGGAGAGCAGGAGAAAGGCAGGCAGCCTGCTTCCCCCCTTGCCCTCCCCCGCCCAGCAAAATCAGTCCCTGTTGGTGCCACATGCCATAAACGCTTGGGGTATCCAAAGGAGCCACCAAGCCCCAGGGCAAAGCCGGGGGCAGACCCTGAGCGGGTGGGAAAGGGGGGTGTGATTCTGGGCGGCAAACCGCCGCCTTCCACTCACAGGAACAACGCAGATATGAAGGGCCTGATCCTACAGACCCAGGACAGTCACTGTTTCAGTACACTATAATCTAGATCTCGCCCAAACCTGTAAACAGTGCCCTGGATCCAGCACCTTTAGAGCTGACAACATTCTGACAACACAATATTCTCTGTGTGTATATAAAGTCTGCTGCAGTTTCCACGGTAAACATCTGATGAAGTGAGCTGTAGCTCACGAAAGCTCATGCTCAAATAAATTGGTTAGTCTCTAAGGTGCCACAAGTACTCCTTTTCTTTTTGCGAATACAGACTAACACGGCTGTTCCTCTGAAACCTAACATTAGAACCTTCCCTCTACAGATCCTTGTTGGTTCCTGCCCACCGGGCTGTATGAGGGATGGAGTCTGTAGAAGAGAAGAGTGAGGGGGGATTTGATAGCTGCCTTCAACTACCTGAAGGGGGGTTGCAAAGAGGATGGAGCTCAGCTGGCCTCAGCGGTGGCAAATGACAGGACAAGGAGTAATGGTCTCAAGTTGCAGTGGGGGAGGTCTCGGTTGGATATTAGGAAACACTATTTCACTAGGAGGGTGGTGAAGCACTGGAATGGGTTACCTCCAGAAGTGGTAAAATCTCCATCCTTAAAAACCTCTAAGGTCAGGCTTGACAAAGCCCTGGCTGGGATGATTTAGTTGGGGCTTGGTCCTGCTTTGAGCAGGGGGTTGGACTAGATGACCTCCTGAGGTCCCTTCCAACGGATATTCTATGATTCCAGGGTGAGGCTGTAGTGAAAACAGCTCCTGATCCATGCACAGCCCCCAGGCTCGGCCTGAAGGTAGGCAGGGGAGGTTTGTGTTTTGCCAGCAAAGGGAAAGGGTTGCAAGCTAAAACCCAGGTGCGGTTCCGATTTCCAACCCTGAGCGTTCGCATGTACTGAGAAAGGAGGGACACTGCCCAAGGAACTAGTTTAATTCCAATTCTTCAAGACCTGCTCCCGTCCGATTGCCCCTTCCCCGCAGCGCCGCGTGTCCAGAGCAGCGTTCTGCGTCCCCGGTGCCTCTGTGCGCAAGAGCGCGCCGCGTTCGCACGGACAGCGCCCAATGCTCCGGTTCGACTGGGGAGCTGTAGAAAGGGTCCTCGCAGAGCCTGGCCGATTCCAGTGATTCCGTTAGTGTCTTTGCCATTCACAGGCAGAGAGAGTCAGTTGTCAGCTGCTCTCAGCCCAGGCCCATGGCTCCCACGCCAGACACGGCTGCAGTTTAGCTCAGTGGGCAGAATGGCTCGGCTCTCTCGGGTTCAGCTTTTGGATTTTCTCAGCCAGCTGAAAGAAAGGGAGTACTTGTGGCACCTTAGAGACTGTTCAACCGCAGGCTGACTGTCGGGCTCTCCCTGTGCCCCGCTTGCACTGCCTCGCCCGCACCCTAGGGAATCGCCCCAGCCAGCCTGCGCGCCTGCAAACCAAACCCCGCTCCTAAAGCACCCGGGCACCTGCTCCCCGCGGGGAGCCAGGCGCTAAGCCCGGCGCTCGGTGCGCGCAGGAGGTAGGGAACAGCAGCCCGGCACTTCGGAGCTGAGGAAGCCAGGTTTCGCGCACTGTCCAAGCCCCGCCATCATGGGGACTGACAGCAGGCAGGAGAGAAGCGCCGCCAAAGCCTGGAATGAAAGTGGTCTGGCCCTGCGTGAGGGCTAGCGGTGTAATCCCGCGGCCGGGCTGGGAGGCCTGGAGCGGGGCGCGCTCTCCCCTGGCGCTGGGGTGGGGCACAGGCAGGTTATTTTGCCTGTTTGCATTTGGCGGCTCAGTAAGTTACACGTGAGTGTTTCTTCACAGCTACAGTAACAGCGTTTCCAGTCTTCCAAGGCGAGTAAATAACAGTTCTAGAGCGAGCAGGGAGAAGAGAACCTAGAACCCGAGGGAGGACGGAGTTAGCTTCGCTCGTGTCCCCCTGGGAAGGACGAACGCGCTTCTCGCAGTGGGTAGCCTGGACATCACTTGGAGATGCTGTGTCCTCTGGGATCACAGCAGGAATGGCAGAAATTCCAGGAGGAAATGGGTTATGTGTAGCCCCGTAACATGAGGACAATCACAGTAACACAGTCTGCTGCTGACCTGTAGCCTCGGAGACCCTGGCTCCTGTTTTAAAAGGCAGTTAGGTCCCGGGGAAGGACTGGAATAACGCACCTTCCTCATGCCACCAGCGATTTGCTGCTGTGGCGGTCACTCGCTTTGCCACAAGCTAGAATTGACTCTAGCAGCGCGGGGACAAGACACCTGGGGGACCTGTGCTGGGGCCAATGCCGCAGCCTGCAGCCAGAACTGCTGACCACAGAGACTTGACGAAAGGCACCATTAGACAAAGGAGGAAGAGCTCTGCCCGCTCTCAGAGCCCGTCTTTGCAAGGTTGGCAGTTAGGGAAAAAACCCAGCAATTCATAACTTTTAAGTGGAGCAAATCTGATACGGGAATCCTTGAGCAAGATTAAATATGGGACCCTGCCAGGTGATTTGACAAAGTCACTGGTAAGAATATAATGGCACATGAAAGGTTAATATTTCAGTGAGCCTTGTGTATTCCCAAAGTTGTG